CTTTACTTCCATCTTCAGTGAAAAGGCTCTCCCTCAGGTTTCCCACACCCCGGAGGTTAGTAAGAGGGTCTGGGGAATGGGAGACTTCCCTTTAGTCAGGAAAGAGGTGGTGTGTGAGCGCCTAGGCAGTACTAAGGTCCACAAGTCCATGGGACCTGATGGAGTGCATCCATGTGTGCTGAGGGAGCTGGCGGAGGTCATTGCTGAACCTCTCTCCATCATCTTTGAGAGATCTTGGATAATGGGGGAGGTCCCTGAAGACTGGAGGATAGCCAGTGTCACTCTGGTCTTCAAAAAGGGCAAGAAGGAAGACCCGGGTAATTATAGGCCTGTCAGCCTCACCTCTGTCCCTGGAAAGGTGATGGAACAGCTTGTGCTGGATGCCATCTCCAGACAACTGGAAGAGAAGGGGGTTATCAGGAGTAGTCAGCATAGATTCACCAAGGGGAGGTCGTGCTCGACCAACCTGGTGGCCTTCTATGATGTCGTCACATGCTGGGTGGATGGGGGAAGAGCGGTAGATGTAGTCTACCTTGATTTTAGAAAGGCATTTGATACTGTCTCCCACGACATCCTTATAACAAAGCTGAGGAAGTGTGGGATAGATGAGTGGACAATGAGGTGGGTTGAGAACTGGCTGACTGGCAGAGTGCAGAGGATCGTCGTTGGCAGTGCAGAGTCTGGCTGGAAACCTGTAACCAGCGGTGTCCCCCAGGGGTCGGTGCTGGGTCCGGTCTTGTTCAACATCTTCATCAATGACCTTGATGAGGGAATAGTGGCCACCCTCAGCAAGTTTGCTGATGATACGAAGTTGAGAGGATTGGCTGACACACCTGAAGGCCGTGCTGCCATTCAGTGAGACCTGGACAGGCTGGAGAGCTGGGCAGTAAGAAACCGGATGAGGTTCAACAAAAGCAAATGTAGAGTCTTACACCTAGGGAGGAATAATTGCATGCACCGGTACAGGTTGGGGGATGAGCTGCTGGAGAGGAGCTCTGCAGAGAGGGACCTGGGTGTCCTGGTGGACAACAGGTTGGCCACAGGTTGGCCATGAGCCAGCAGTGTGCCCTTGTGGCCAAGAGGGCCAATGGCATTCTGGGATGCATTAAAAAGAGCGTGGCCAGCAGGTCGAGGGAGGTGATCCTCCCCCTCTACTCTGCCCTGGTAAGGCCTCATCTGGAGTACTGTGTCCAGTTCTGGGCTCCCCAGTACAAAAAAAGACAGGGACCTCTGGGAAAGAGTCCAGTGGAGGGCCACAAAGATGGTGAAGGGCCTGGAGCATCTCCCCTGTGAAGAAAGACTGAGTGAACTGGGTCTATTTAGCCTTGAGTAAAGATGACTGAGAGGGGACCTGATCCAGGTTTATAAATATCTGAGGTGTGGGGGCCATAGTGGTGAGGCCAGACTCTTTTCAGTGGTGAGTGGAGACAGAACAAGGGGAAACAGACATAAGCTGCAGCATAGGAAGTTCCGCATGAATGTGCGCAAGAACTTCTTTACAGTGAGGTGACGGAGTACTGGAACAGGCTGCCCAAGGAGGTCGTGGAGTCTCCTTCTCTGGAGATATTCAAGTATCGCCTGGATGCCTACCTGTGCGACCTGATTTGGGGAACCTGTTTTGGCAGGGGGGTTGGACTCGATGACCTCTAGAGGTTCCTTCCAACCCCTACAATTCTGTGATTCTGATGTGGGCGTCTGAGGGCTTCTTCAAGAATTACAGTGCACCACTATCAGCGAAGGGTAACCCATGTTAGCTGGTATCCTGCGTAGAGCAACAAATGATACTGTAAGTCATTGCTTCATCAACTACTGTATGATCTCGTGTTATACATGTTAGAGAAATCTCTGCTTATGAGTTTTTGACGTACTCTCTGAGGTACTACTCAGTTGGCATTAAAGTATCATTTGAGCTTACTTAAATAATGTAAGTGACCTGGTGGGTTCGTTTTTCTTTTAGTTAATAAATATGCCGTGAATTTGAAGGGATTCTGTCTTAGAGGGTGACCTGAAAACTTGTGAATATTGAAATTAAATATCATTTATTAAAACTGAAATAGAATCTGTTATGGTAGGAAAAATTGCAACCGCACATATCAATGATATATTTGAAAACAAATAAGGAAAAAAAAAAAAAAAAGAAAAAGAAAAAAAAGATTAATTTAGGGATTTTGAGACCTTTACTGCAACTTAGCATGGAGAAAATCTTTCTTGGTCTACCAATTTTTTTTGTAGCCAGGAGTTACCTACTGTTATTCACTAAGATGAAAGCGCATATTATGTATTCTGACTGACAGACCATCAGTTGAAAACAGACAACGTCCTCAGACATCTGATGGATGGGTAAAAATCCCTTTAAGCCAAGATTTAGGAGTATTATAGAACCTTTTGAGATACAGAAAGTGGCAGATCACTACAAATTAATTGTAAGTGCTTTGATTTTTTTTTATTTTTTTTTTTTAATTTTTATTTATTTTTTACTTTTTCCCACTCAGCACTAGATATTCTTGGAGCATGGGATTTACAAAAGCTGTCAACTTTTCTGAATTAGATGTAGTTAGCAAGTTTCAAAGGCTAAACGGAAGTGAAAGAAACAATTGCCAAGGAAAAACATTATGTCTAGAAATCAATTCACTCTTTGATTTTCATCTATTGATGGAATAGCTGTTTTATTATTTATATGGAGTAGTGAGTAATAGACAATTAAAATAATAATAATAATAATAGTAATAACTGTTCAAAAATGTGTCTTGCTTGTTTAGGTGAGCAGTTATCTCACAGGTTATTTCTGTTCATCTAAAGTGTTTTCCTTAATAAATAAGGTACCAAAGACTTGACATTTGTGTATATATTTTTTAGGATTTTTCAGTTTAGACTGAATCTTGTCTGGTTATGTGTTCATCTGAATTGAATATTCTTTTGCTGTGGCAGTCCATTAAGATAATTTAGAATGTATTTACCCAGATGTCGTAGGTGCATAGGTGATACTGCAGTAGAGATTGAGCCTTCCTGCTAACATCTCATTGCTGTGTGACGGATGGCAGCAGAGGGGCAATCTGAAAAAAGAGCATGGAAATGGATGTGTGTCTGAAGCAAAGGTGCATTGTTGAATTCTGCCATGTGGAAATGATGACACCCACTGAGTTTGATTGAACATTTTTTGAGGCAAAACTGTGTATGTGAGCACAGTGAGGCAGCGGATGGTGCATTTTAGCAATAGCAGCAGCAATAAGAAAAATGAGTTACAATCCAGATGGCCACGTACAGCTGGCACACCATGAGATGAAGAGTATCTTCATCAGTGCATCCGTATGAATTGGCTAATTGTGATTACTGTGCTAAAAATAGTGTTCTGCAGTAGTGTTATTGTGCTCCTCATATCTGTTGTAGTTTCTATGGAAATATTATGTAAATAGGAGGCATTATTTTCAGAGTAACCTATGTAAACATGAGCTTTTTATGCATTAGAAGCTTCTAAATTTCATGATTGCCAGAGTTGAGTATACCATCAGGAGAGATTAAACTATCACAATTAGTCATTTCCCATAATTTGAGCCAAAGTAAAAATTATATATATGATATCAAGGTGCTCTACTTGCAGGTAAAATATAGTAGCTTAAAGCACTGAAGTTAATTAAAACTGTCATATTTTACTTTTCTAGTGAGTTGAGCTAAGAGAGCCAAAGCAATCAGTTATTACACTGGTTGATGAGTGATAAGTTGTTATTTTGTTGTTGTTTTTTACTTTCTCTTTTTTTTTTTTTTTTTTTTAGCTCATACAAAATCATTAACTGTATAAAATGATGGTAAATATAATCACTGCCTACAAGTTTTTTGGTTGTGATTCCTGTGTTGCTAATCAGTGTTTTATATATTATAATTTCAAATAAAGTCAGAAAGCATGCAGTACACTATATATAGCTGTAGTTTGCTTCTAATAATCTGTGGATGTTTATTCCTAACAAATTCATACTATTACTGTTTGAGCTTGTTTAGCTTGGAGAATTGAAGGCTCTGGGGGGACATCACTGCAGCCTTCCAGTACTTGAAGGGAACATATAAGCAGGATCATCTTTTTAGACAGTCTAATAGTTACAGGACAAGGGGGAATGATTTGGGGAAATCTTTTAAAGAGGGAAGACTTAGATTAGATGTTAGAAAAGAACATCTTTGCTCATGGGTGATGAGCTGTTGACAGACTGCCCAGAGAAGTTGTGGATGCCTTTCCCCAGGAGCCATTTAAGACCAGGTTGATTGGAGCCCTGGGCAGACAGATTTTGTGGGTTGCAGCTTTGCCCATGGCAGGAGAGTTGGAGCTCAATAATTTCTAAGGTCCTTCTAGTCTAAGCCATTCTGTGATTCTACAAATGTTATTTAAAAGAATGTATGAACTTATGACGTTAAAATGGTAAACGTACGTATTGCTTGTCATGATTCTGACAGATTTTCAAACAAAGTACGCACATTTTGCAGGTATTGTGAAATTAGTTTCCTTTTTATGTTTATTAACTTGAACAAAAAAGCAACATCCTTGCGTTATCATGGTTGGTTTTTTGTTTGTTTGTTTTTTAAATTTATTCAATAGCTGTTTACAGTCTTCGTGAAGATCGAAAGCTCTTGTGAAGTTACATACTGTTTCTAAAGTTTATCAAAACTAAGCCCAATATAGGGTACTTCTGATATAAGACATTTGTTTCTCTTTTTTCTTTGATACGGGGAGGTTATCTTACTAACAATAAGGTCATTTGCATGACAGGAGACATCATAAAAATTGAAAGCTAATGTCTATGTCATTTTTATATGCTTATGTTAACGTGCCTCTTGGTTCATATCACAGGAAGCAGAATCAAACTGGAATTAAATGTCATGCTGTATTTTATTGCTTATGTGTTTGTTATGTATTGATCCTGCTAATTTATAATAAAAATTTTAATAATTAAGAGTTTGAAAATCTGGAATTTTTAAGACATGTATGAACACTAGCTTTTAACTTTTTTTTTCAGACTTGTTCTTAGTTCTGTCTCTGACTACTTTGCTGCCATGTTTACAAGTGATGTTTGTGAAGCCAAGCAAGAAGAGATCAAAATGGAAGGCATTGACCCTAATGCATTATGGGATCTTGTTCAGTTTGCGTATACAGGTACTGTAATGCATGCGTTGTGCTTCCTGCATTCAAAGATGCTGATAGGTTTATGCTGATGGTTTTATGTGCTGCATGCAAATGAATTATATTTATATTCTAAACTTTTTTTTTTTTTAACAAACATCAGTCACTGAAAACAATTACCAATTCTAGGGCTAAATTCTAACATTCTGTTATACCTAACCTATTAAATATGTTGGGCATATAAGCACATGAGAACAGTCTAGAAAATGATATCTGTCTCTTAATTTAGAAATACATGTAGAAGAGTGCCTCGTTATGTGTAGGATTCAGATTTCATGTTGTCATTGAAGGAATGCCTATATTTTTGAATATTACATTATATTGCTATTTTGGTCTAATTCCCGTTTACATACTCATATGGATCTTTTGAAAGTTTCTCATTAAGATCTGGGTGTTGTGATTCACTTTCAATATTATAAGCTGATACTTGATTGTATAATGTTTCTGAATAGCTTGTAACTGAGAGTTAATAACTCAGAACTTTCTTCTGAATAGATGTTATGCTTTAATGCATAATAAACTTTTCTTTATCTTTCTTAAACAAGCTTTTATGCACAATGTATCTGAAGTGAATTAATATTGAAGAATACTAAGGTCACAAAATAATTTAAAGATAAGAGGTACCAACAAGATTTGTAGTCTGAATTTGTCTCGCGTTGCATATAAATCATGCTATTATAAAACACAAGGTACTTTCTGTTTCCTCAAAGACATCCTTATATTGTTTAAATTAAGCATTTGATTTTAACTTGAATTTTAAATGGGTGGTGCATAACCTTTAGTTTTAATCCTGTCTAAATAAGAATTTAATCATAAGATGCTCTTGGCTTTGAAATATTTGATCAGGATATGTGCTGTTTATTTTATTACATATTAAGTGTTTTTTACTTTCTTAATAGGAACAAAGAACAAGAAACAAACAATCTAAGTTTAAAAAATGTTCTTTTTTGGGAATCATGTTTCAGAAGCTCAGATAATAGGAATGTCAGACCTTCAAAGGACAGTGTCTACTGCATTTAATTTTAGATTTGCTGTTCAGAACAGTGTGTCATCCACGAGATTTCAAGCTAGGGACCCATGAAATGAACAAAATGTAAGCACTTGTCATCAAGCATGAGAAAGATGCAATCACATTACTAGGTGTGAGTGTAAAATGAATAGAACAGGAATACTGAGGTAATATCACGAATACCTTTGGACAGAATAGCAAAAAAAAAAAAAAAAAAAAAAAAAAAAAATTACAGGTAACAGTATATCATTCTGTAAGTGCATTAGAGGTGGAGGAAGATGAATGACAGTGTTGCTCCAGTGGGAGCAAAACTCTAGAAATAGTGAAGTACAGTGTGGCTCTCTTGCCTCAGATTTCACTGAAAAGATCTCAAATAAACTCAAAGCATAGTTCAGAAACAGCAAATCATAAAAATTAGGCATAGGTTAAGATTATTTTAAGAAAAGAATGAGGAAAAGGAAGGAAACAAAACTTAACTTTTCAAAATTAATGAGGCTGTCTTAGAACTTTATTGGTTACCTTTGGAACTGTGAAGAATAGATGTGGTAACAAAAAAGTAGAAAAGAGCTAAGTTATTCTACTTCCCGCATAAGGTTTTCAGTTGCTTCATTCACCTTGACTTCTCTCTGCAAAATGTTGTATTCTGTTTTTCACATGAGCTGTGTAACATGGAGCTTTCATATTGTGGCCAGGTGGTTAAGGACCAGCTTTCACAAATGGGTGAAAAAAGATATTCACAGTAAGTTTAATGTTTTCCAATTTCCCTTGTGTGAATTTGCATCCTTAATAATAAGGCCCAAACTACCTTAAAAATAGCAGCATTATGTGACATGTAACATCACCTTGAAGAACTGGCGATTAAGATGGTCACAGAGATCTCTAACTTCTAACACCTGCACTGGTAACACACCATCATCCTTTTAGCTCTAACCCATTCTGGAGACAAAATAAGACTTTGAAGGTGTCTGCTGAAGTGTACGCTTTAAAAATAAATTTCACAAATAATTGATGATCAAAAGGAGTGATGACATTTATATTGCATGCTAGAAGAGAACATGTTTTTGATTCCATAGAATCTTCAGATTTTGGTTACTCTGTCATCCATTCCTGCTCCATCAGGTTCTTTGTTCTGACTTATTCTCAGCTTTTGCACTTATTTTTTGAAATGCTTGTTAGACTCTTTGTTTCTCTGCTTTATTTCTCTTCATCGGGCATCTTGACCAACTTCAAAACTTCCTTGCTATTTTTCTTCTTTCTTAAAATTTGGTATTTTTTTTTGTGCTAATGGATATATGTGGGAGTACTTGAACTCCTAGTGGGTCTGGACAAGAGAGTCCATAAACGGTTCATTAAATTTTGATTTTTCAACAAGTCTCACATCTATATATATATTTCTGTTGGGTGCATATAGAATTTGTTAGTTGTATTAAATATTATTAATTCTACAGATTGCCCAAGGAGCAAGTTACAATTGTCTTGAAAATATGCATTCTGAAACATTTCATTTCATGTATAGTTGCTGCTGTTTTAGGAAGACTTTCCCCAAGGATGACTGAACACTTCACTAAAATAGACGTGAACATGGGCTTGTTTGCAAAACTTTAGAAGCAAAGAGTATTATTACATTGCAAATATTTTTTAACTGTGATTTTTAAAAGTGAACCATTTTATATTATATTAGCTAACTATTTTTAGCAAGTCTCTGAATTTATGATCTGGCCCAAAACAGAGGCTTCTACATACTGCATTTAGAGAGGGAGAAAACAAGAGTTTTCAAATCCAAAAACAAAGCAGTGTTAATAAAAATGTCAGAGAAAGTGAATAGATTGTATGTGTTTTGAAATCAAGGTTATTTTCCTGTACTTATCCAAAACTTACATTGGAATTTAATTATATTTATGTAAACAAAATTCTGATCAGTTCAGAAATTTTTCACACTATTAAAGATAATATTTTGCTAAGATAATACTAGCTTCTATAAGTATTTCTATCATCTTGGCAGCTTGTTTCTTAAATACTTTGAGCAAACTATATTTTAAGTTTTTATTTTGAAGGAAAATTTTCACTTTTCATCCTATTAAAAAACTAGAGTAACAAAATACTGTGCTTTTTTCTTATTTAATAATCTAAAAAGTTTTCCAGTAGATCCTAACAATTTTCACTTTTACTTCTATTTAGATAAGTACATAAGGTATGCATTTATACAATTATACGTGTATTTATATATGAATATCTTATGTATATATGCTTCAAATATTTTTGCAGTTAAAAAAAAAAAAAGAGACCATGACAGGGAAAAAACAAACAAAAAACCTTCTCTGCTAGCCTACGAAATAAAAGCTATATTAATTTTCAGAGTGTTTATTTCTCTTTTTCATGGTGAAGTTGTGTTCCTTTAATTATTATATACAATGTCTTGAATGTATACATAGAATAAAAACAAATGTGTTCTCTTTGTCAATTGTGTGAAGTCAGGATTATATCTAATTTGCAAAGGAAAGTGAATATTTTAAACTCTAATCAAATTCTGGAAGGGGTTGCCATCTGTGAGGAATTGGCATATTAAATAAAGCTAATGTTTCAAATTCAATCATGTTTTTGAGACTGTACATGAGTAAAGTTGGGCAAATGCTTAAGGTACATTGTTCATTTAATTTTATTTGTTTTGTTTATAGCTGTGTTGTTTATCTTTTAAAATAGGCAGCATTTGCAGACTTTTTTCTTCTTAAACAGGTACTATTCTATTAAAGAAATTGCCTATAATAACATGAAATACTTCATACATTATGTTGCTCTTTCTCTACCCCTGAATAAGTAGAAGACCGAGTCCTGACACACTGTGAAACTGGACTGTGTTCACTCGTGTATGCAAATAGACTTGTAAATAATTTGCAAGGTGAAATTACATGGTGGCCAGCAGAGTATTAAGTCCTGTACAGTCTTGATAAGAGCTGCTCCTAAATAAAGGCACATGTCCATCTAGAAGTAGTAAAAGGAAAACAAGAAAATTAGTCTTCCAAAGTTGTATGGTAAAGAGTATTAAAGTTTCTATGAAGAAGCAACATTACTAATTTAAAAAAAATGGTATGTTAGATGCATCAGTAAAACACAATTTGATTAAAACTGAAAACTTGGGATATCCTAAAACACGTTATAAAGGCTGTTAGAGGGCTTTGAGTTTCTTTTTACACTGTTTTTTGTTTGTTTGTTTTACATAAACGAGTTATAACTGAAGAATTTGATTTTATAAAAAGATCAGTTACTGTATTGTTTTATCTGAAATAAGTCTTTGAAGTCTATAGTCTTCAAAGATATTTCTTCACATGATCCAAAAGTTGTCACAGACACAGGATCATTCTTCAACATCCAATTTGAATGCTTCTGCCATGGTTTGGAGGACAGCAGAGTTCAATGTGAAACACAGGCCACTTCAATCCACTTATCCTTAGTGTCTGGAATTTCCCTCTAACAAGTTTAACTTAATAGGCATTATTGAAGACTCAAATAAATAATTACAGATTTCTAGGTGATAATAATAGCTTGCTTGCAGTGTTATAAACTAATCCACTCTAGGAGATACTCATTGTAATGAGATCTGGATTTATCCCTGATACTGTACATATCCTGAAGATCACTGCCTCTGGTTATATGTCATACAGGGTGGTATAAATCTCCAATAAACATTTGTATATAGATCACCTGTGAAGTTATCTTTGAGAAGCTAAAACTTGTTGTTAACTAATTTTTAGGAGTCATTGACAGAAAAGAGAATTGCAAATATCCAGAGCAGAATTGTTCATCAGAATTTCTCCAATTCAGAAAGTGGAGTTCTGGTAGTAACTTGCAATGTCATGTTTGAGATTGTCTGTCTGTGAATGTTTTGCATTGGCTACATCCAAGATCCTTTGTTCCAGCTACATTTCTTCCCAGTTCTGGAACAAATGACAGTGTTCACATTTCCATA